AGTTTTATAAATATATTTTTCGAAAAAAGCCGTAATATTCACGAAAAAAAGCTGCCATAGCCGACAGCAAAAAAAAACATTTTGTCAATTTTCCCGCGTTTTTCCCCGTTTCCTAGGATACGAGGCCTCATCACGATTTATGAATAAGGTGTATATAGAATTATAGATGATTTTTGTAGCACCGACTTGATAGGATATATCTCTTTTAGCGGTGCACTTTTATTCAGATCAATTTTGTCAAATAAAATTTAATGAAGATCTTAATGACGGCTAATGCTTGAATACAAATTATTGTACAACAAAGTTTACATAAAACTGATAGAAAACGATAAAAGTGCTAAACTAAATGTCTCCTGCAACTATTGACACTAACAGAGCAAAGAACAATTAATCATTGAAAGTTAAAAAGTTAGTCATGATAAAACTGCTAAGAGTAAATGTCTTGATTCAATTATTTAACAAGTGAAAAGACGATAAAAAGTGATAATTAGAAAGTCGTAATCATATTAGAAAGTCATAATTAGAAAGTCATAATTATATTAAAAAGTCATAATTAGAAAGTCCTAATTAGAAAGCACCTGTTCCACCATGATGACCATCACGTGCATCGTCAGGGATCTACAACTTGGCACCACATTTATTCAATTTTTTCACCATGTCTTCGTAACCACGCTGGATGCGTTGAAAATCGTGTACAACTGTTGAGCTTTGAGCATCGTCTTGAACAACCAAACCCGCAAGAACCAGGGCAGCTCCACCACGAAGATCTGCAGCCCTGACATGAGTCCCATAAAGCGCTTTACCTATCATATAATTTATAATGATCAGGGCGTAGCATCACAGTACGTAAGAGTTACGCTACACATAAAGTCAACTTTTGCATTACACTCGAAGTCATATATTATATTGATTCAGTATTTTGCAAAGAAATTCAACGCGGAAGTTGAATTTCGTGGGGCTTTCCTCAAAGTCATTCAAGTTAAATAATAGTGATTTTAAAATGCTTCAAACAATGCTAAAAAGTGTATCACGTTTTTCTGTATTTAAAATCGACATGATAAATTGTTTTTCCTCAAGAATTTATGTTACTTATAATATACAAGGCCAAAGTACCTGCATATATGCGATATTCTTTATCCCTGACTTTTTCAATCTGTGCTTTCATTGCAACCAAACCGTCCACATATTTGAAACGGTCATCATAGATTTGATCATGTACTGTGCTGTATCGTTTTGTTTCACCCGTCTGCATCGTTTTGTTTCACCCGTCTGCATTTTAGTGAGTTGCGCTTGGGTCATGAACGCCACCCATAGTGGCAGGAGGTCGGTGGGAAAATTAGGATAAGGACCTGTTTTGATGTCAACTGGTTTGCTGATGCGATTGTTGAGTGAAATTTCAATTTCATATTGATGGCGCTTTTTTATTTCTTTTATGTTTACTCCCGCGTCCTTCAGCGGCCGGCGTATCGCCTTCAACATGGCTTCTTTCATGTCTTCCTTCTTGTCTTCTTCAATGTTTTTTTCAAATCCAACTTCAAGCACAATTGGTCCTAAATAGGTATGATGATTTTAATAGTTTGAAGGGTATAGGCAAATTACAATGGGACACGTTTTGTAGACAACATGGAAAGTGTATGCAAGTTACTTTAAAGAATTTATGCAGTGCCTTTTTTAACTATATATCTGAGGGAGGGGGCAATTGCCCCCCCCCAGGGAAAGAATTTGCCCCCCCCCCCCAGTAAAGCCATTTCTGCCCCCGAAGTGCGAAGCAGAATTTCTCATGATTGCTGTCAGAATTGCAGTTGATTTACTTGATGAGATTATGCCCTTCCATAGCCTCCTCCACAGTCATCTTGTGTGTAATTCATATTGTTCTTCACCGAGTATTTCATAATAGCGATAGATTTCATGCAAACAATCCGATAAAATGCTAGCCTTTCCAAGCCTTGCGACTATTTCCTAGCACTCTCCTCTGCAGAGGC